CTTGCCTACTATTGTAAAATAGACACTTGAGTGGGATAGAAAGGAATGTTGGGAAACATGATCAGAGAAAACTTGTAAGTCCGCCTTCAGCCTATAACTGATTGGAATACCTAAAAGGGGTTCTACAACTTGCCCAAAGAAATAGGCCTCATGCGAAGCCTTTACAGAGTATAGGACCTTAGGTGGAATCCTGAGTCTGAGTGGGTTTTTTTTGTTTGTGTGTTTTTTAAAAAGCTAAAGTGGATAATGAGAAATACTTTTAACTAATGGTATATGGAGGGGATTATAATCAATGTAATGAAACAAGTTATATGAATGGTTGAATGTGAAACTGATGATGTGCCCTGTAAACTTTCATTCAATCCACAATAAAAACCTTAAATTAAAAAGAAAGAAAGACCTCGTGATCTACTTCCGAACAAATCAGTCATTGAAAGCTCTTAGGGGCACAGTTCTACACTGGTACACATGGGTCACCATGAGCCATAATCAATGCAACAGCCACTTTGCTGGTATATTTGCTATATCGGTGGCATAATTACTAGGGTAGCAGGTACCATTTACTGAAGATTTACTCTATGCCAGACTTTAAAACTAGCTTTTGATGTGCAGTGCAAAATCCCAAACATAAGGACTTTGTGACTCTGCACAGTTAACACTCTGCAGTTTTTACACCTCTTCTGCAGAACGCAGGCACTGATACTAGCTTGAATCCTATGATGTTGCCATCTCTGTAGGCCAGAAAAGAAATGGTCAGATATTGGCAATTTTAGATGGTCTCATCTAAAAAACCAAACCATAGCCAGTTGCTGTGGAGTCCATATCAATTCATGTCAACCCATTTGTGTCAGAGTAGAACTGTACTCCATAGGATCTTCAGTGGGTGGTAAGTACATCACCAGGTTTCAACCAAGGTGCCTCTAGGTAGACTCAAACTGCCAATCTTATGGTTAGCAGTTGAGAACATTAACCATTTGTAGCACCCAGGGACTGCAACATAAAACACTACTATGCTTAGTGCAAGGAGCCCTGGTATCAAAATGGATTTATCAGCTGGGCTGCTAACTGCAAACTCAGTAGTTTGAGTCTACCAGTCACTCTGTGGGAGACAAATAAAGATTTACAGCCTCAGAAACCCTATACATGGTCACTATGACTTGTAACTGACTTGATGGCATACAACTGCCATGCTTAGTGTCTCCTCCGGTGTAGGAAACCAAACCAAACTTACTGCCATTGAGTAGATTCCAACTCGTTGTTGTTATGTGTCGTGGAGTTGGTTCCGACTCATAGCGACCCTGTACAGGGTTTCCGAGGCTGTAAATCTTTATGGGAGCAGAAAGCCTCATCTTTCTCCCATGGAACAGCTGGTAGTTTTGAACTGCTGACCTTGCGGTTTGCAGCCAGATTCATAACCACTACGCTACCAGAGCTCATAGCAAACATATATATAGGACAGAGTAGAACTGTTTCTTAGGGTTTCTAAGAGTATAAATCTTTTCAGTCTTTGAAAAGATTTGTTGTGTTTGAAATGCTAACCTTGTTGTTTAGTAGTCCAACCCTTAACCAACTGCACTATCAGGCTCCTTTGAGCATAGGGAGTACTTGGTTAATGGAAACTTTACTGGTAATGTGGTTGTTGATATTTGACCTCCTCATCCCACTTTTGGACTCCTGGTGTGGGGCTGTGAGTTAATGCACTGGACTGCAAAGTTGGGGTTTGAACTGCAAGGTTGACAGTTCAAGCTCCTCGGAAACCCTGTACAGGGTCACTATGGGTTGGAACCAACTCGACAGCACCTACCAACAACATCCCTCTTTTACCAGACTTTCTAACCACAGTGAAATCATCTAGTTTGAATTTTGCCTCTTTAATTTCCTTATTGTGGAAATGAACGAAAGCAATAAAGTGATTCAAAAGTGGGCCAACGACAGAAGCAAAGGGATAGGAGACTCAACTTACTGTCACCTGGGTGGTGGAGAGGGATCTAGATGAGATGTGTTCACCACAAGCTGTTTCTTTGTCCCCAGGTACACTGTGCTCCGGCTAATGATTCGTCAGAGGCTAGAAGAGATAGCCGAGACCCCAGAAACCATATAAGCCTTGAGAATAAGGGGGTCCAGGTGCCAAAGGGGCCACGATTTACATAAGAAGACCCGCAGGAAACCAGGAGCTTTCTTTCCACTGAAACGTTGAAATGCAGACTTCTTGAGCTGCCTTCCAAGTGCCCATTTGCTACCTGGAGTTGGGTGAAGCAGAGAGCAAACAAGACCCCATCCCTGGTTCCCTAGTCTCCTTTCTTTCCCTCAGAGGGATTTTGCTTTTTCTTCTAAGGAGGACCCAGTGTGTGTGTCTCCATGGACATGTGCCTACTTGATACACTTTTTCATATATACTTACATTCCAATCAGTCAGCACAAGTGTCATGAGGCTGGTAGACGTGCTCCTCATGGGCAGGAAAGAGAGGTTACTGACCTGAGGGGCTTTAGACTGAAGTGTTTTTTCACCTCAAGTGCCAGGGAGGAGCCACACCTTTGTGCCCCTGTTTGTTTAGAAAGGGAAGGGAACTCCACAGGCTTAGGTGGGCTCACTCATCATTTGGGCTATTAACATGTTAGTAGAGATTCTCTATGTATGTAGAAGGATCGCTGAATTAAGATCCTGGGAGATTTAACAGCCCCATACTGTTGGGGCAGTTTAACAAAAGAAAAAGATCAACCACTGATTGGGTAGATGCAATATGCCTATAATTCTTACACTGGAAACTGCTCTTGTTAAATGACAGCGCTATACGTAGAGTTCTATGTGATGCTTATAAAGAAGAATCTGCCTGTATCTTTGCTCCTACGGCCACCCCAAGGAGACAGGAGGAGCCTGAGTATGTCTCTTTGCCTGTCAAGCTACCAACCTCATTGCTTTGGAGCTTCTTTGAGTTGAAGGCAATGTCTTGTGAAGTCACATGGCATTGACCGAGTATCATGGCCAGAACCTAGCCTTATTCTAAGGTGGTGGCCAGGAAGTGTCTGAGTCTCTTCCTTGGGACTAAAAAGCAGTGTGGAGCTTCATGGAGAGATGACAGGTAGGTGTCTGTTAGTCCAGTCTATCTTCACATCACTAGGGTCTTCTGCCCTTGAGCTATGACTACCTTTGAAGTCAAAGGTTTATTCTTTCTATCCTCTGGATTCTTGCAAGTCACCCTCTCCATGTATGTGGAGATGGACTTTGAGAATGAGAACTTGTGCACTTACTAAGTGTGGCACAAAGGGATGTCCTTTGGGCTTCCCCCACAAAGGTGTGGAGACGGATGGGGCAGGCATCTCTGGGAAGATAGAGCAGGGAGAGTCTGTCACCTGTGGTCCAGATTGGGGAGACTGCCAATAGGCCAGCGTGACTGAGAATGAGTTTGAGGAAGTCCCGAGAGCTAGCTGGAGCAGGGACCTGGTTGTCAAGGTCAACCCAGCAAGACCAGAAGCAGCAGATGGCTCCGAGCCTCATCTCTACCACCTCCTCTTTGAGGGGGGGCATCTAGGGAAGAAGAGCCACTGGTCAGTGCTTTAAAGGAAGGTGAGCCTAAGCAGTAGAGCCATTCCTACCCTTCTGCCTTCCCCTGTGACCTTCTCCAGGGCCTCTTTGGATGGCTCATAGTTGTGGTCTCATTATTGACTTTGAAAATGCCAGGGCATTCTCAGCTAGTCTATCTTCTCTATGAGGATAGTGCCACCAGTCTTGTGGGGCTGTGGAAACCCAGAGGCACATGGACTTCATCATACACCTCAGTGGGCTTCTGCTAAACGCACAGAACCAAGCAAAACAAAGAGGTGGGGATGTTTCCCTTGTTACAGCTGCCAAGGGCCATTTTGTGAATGCGCTTCCACCTCCTGAGTTTTGCATTTCAGAAAATGACTTGGAAAAAATTCTCTCCCAGTTATTTTTACACTGAACTTGCAAAGCCTTTGTTGGCCTCAATAATTTATCTTTGGGGATGCTGGGGGAAGGATTTCTATAAAGCAAATGACTAACCACTAACTTTTATTGGACATCTATTTCTGGTTTACAAAAGTTCTCTAATTTGCACTAGCAGTGGGAGAGTGTTAAATATGGGGATGTTGCAGATTGTCAAGTATGCCAGCTCACTTTTGGAGAAAGTTTTATGGCAGTAGACTTGCTTTTTAAAGATGGGGGACCAGGGTGTGGAAGTGAGGGCAAATCGCTTCCTACAGAGCACACTACCACCCAATTCAGGCCTCTCCTCATTTTGACCCTTCTGGTTTAGAAATCATTTATCAAGTCCTAGCTTTGGTAGCATAGTGGTTACAAGTCGGGCTGCCTACCTCAAGGTCAGCAGTTCGAAACTACCAGCGGTTCCGTGGGAGAAAGATGAGGTGATCTGCTCCCGTAAAGATTTACAGCCTGGGAAACCCTGTGCAGGGTCACTATGAGTCGGAACCGACTCCACAGTACTTAACAAACAACAACAATGTCCTGATCAGGAATTTTGGAAGCAGTTTCTTTTCAATAGCTTTGGATGAAACAGACACTTCACCTCCAGGTGGAACCAAATTTTCTCACTGATATCACATGACCTGGAAGCTTTGAACATGGGTTGATTTGTGTGGGCTTATATCATTGTGTGCAATGGATCTGAATCTGGGAAAAGAACAAAAGGCCAGTGTGTAGGTTTCTTTTCTAACTCGTGAAAGCAGACCGCCTCTTTGACTTTCTTTTATCAGTGGCTTACGACACAGGTTTATGATCAGTGAAGGAAAACCTGGGTCCTGGCTGGCAAGGGGCTCAGTATTCCTGGTAATGGTGGAATCAAAGACAAGATTACCTTCACAGTGATCACATGGTCATTGTTAAATTCCATCGAGTCAGTTCCAACTCATAGTAACCCTGAATAGGGTTTCCAAGGAGCGGCTGGTGAGCTTAAACTGCCAATCTTGCAGTTCAAACCAAACTTGCAGTCCAGCAGCATATTAAGCCTCAGCGTCAGATCAGGACTTTGTGATCACATTAGTGGGAAGTTTATATGAGTTAAGTGGTTGTGGTGTTGGGTGAAGGGTAGCTTGGTGAGGAATTAAAAAGCACAAACTACGCATGTTCATGCATGCTTGTCTAGAGTCTTCTCAATGGACTGGACGAATTTTAAGTTTGAGGTGAGGGTGAGGCTAGAGGATCTCAGGAGATTAGTCCCCACCTGAATGAAATGTGCCAAGATTTAATGTCAAGGTTTTGCCCAGAGACCTGCTAATGCTTCAAGGTGGTCTTTCATCTTTCCTTCCTCCAGACTAAAATCAATGCTCATTCCTAGGAATCTTCAGATAATGACATTTTATCATCAGTGTAGAGAAAACTTGGGCATCTGCTTATGGAAAGAATCTTTTTGCAGTGCAAAAACATCTTAGCAAGAATTCTTTTCTGTGGTGTTGGCATGGTTATTTTGGAGTGTTAGAAGAATCAAAGGAGAAATGGGCCCAGGAGGGCAACAAACTTTGGTTCGAAAAGAAAAGCTCTCTGAAAAAAAAGAAAATTATTCCAAAGCTCCATAGCACAGAGAGCTTGGTGTCAGACACACATCTGAGAAATTTCTTCATGAACAAGGGAATCTCAGTGTCTTCCTGGTGACCAAACCATGACATGGGTTAGTGATAGGGAGCAGGTGAGAGCACCTTGAACTTGGCTGCTGTGGTAACAAGCATTTTTGTCTCTGTCTTAATTGTTTTACAAAAAGTCTTGATTCAGATGAGACAAAAACTTGTCTCCTGGAGAATGTGGCATTTCTTTCAGATGTATGGAACTGTTTGCCTTGTCACTGAAGGTGAAGGCACTCCTTGTATTTTAACCAAGCACAAGAGACAGACAAGCTGTGAAGGGAAAGCCATCAATTTGCCCTAGAAGTGTCCCCCTGGAGATACATGTTTTCTGGGCTGAAGTTTTCTGGGTGTAATTGCTGGTGTTCCTTAAGGGATTCCCCACTTATTTTAGCTTTGTGAAGTGTTCTTTTCTTAACCATCACTTGCCTTTCAGCAATGGTACATGATTTGGTTCAATGTTTGGTTCTGAACTTCTAAAGAAATGCACATCTTAACATAATTTGACGAGGTCTCAGTAGGGAGCCATACATTTTTGTAATGTTTTGATATGTTTGAATGCACATGACTTAGATGTAATTGAAATAAAGCACCTTTCAAAGAGATGTTCCTCCATGGATGGGTTTGTGTGTGTTGATTGGGTTGGGAGTTATACATTGTGATGGGGTGGTTGGAAGGTAGGGGACAGGAAAAGACATCCAAAAGATCAGTTGCTTTTCTAACTCCCTGAGTTGGTGGTTAGAATTTGCTTCGGCCCTGGCTGTAATGTTCCAAATAAGAAGCAAAATGAGCATGGAACCTGCTGAGTCTTGAGTTTAGTCCCCAGTAGAGTTAGTTGTGGAAAGTCCTGGAAACCATCCTTCAGTGGATTTTTGTTCTGACTCGCTGTCTAACTGCTTGTGAGCCTGGGACCATTCACTGAGCCTTTTTCAAGGAATTGTTTTCCTCATCCTCAAAATGACCAAGCCACCTCTATGGATGTGGGGATCTGGGGTTGATTCTGTTGGAGGCAACTGCCTAGTGGTCCCAGGTTCAAGGGCCATCCCATGGAAGGGGGAATGGTTATGTGATTGGTCCACAAGCTTGAATGCTTTTTGTTTGTTTTTTTAGTAGAATATGGCTTTTAGTAAAAGAATTTTCCAGCATAATTTAGGACATTAAACTATATTAAAAATTTGAGTTCATAGTTACAGGCCGTAAGGAAAGTTTAAGATAAACAGTTGTAAAATAGCAACACTAAGAAGTATTCTTGCCCCAAAGCTCAAACCTGAATTTTATCAAATATCTAGATCCCACTCAGTGTCGGTTTGGAACTCATGGTGACCCTATGCACAGCAGAATAAAACACTGCCCAATCCTGCGACAGTCTTACAACTGTTGTTATATTAAAGTGCATTGTTGCTGCAACTATGTCAATCCAGTTTGTTGGGGTCTTCCACCATTTTTCCCGACACTCTGAATTTCCAATCCTGGTATTATCCTTCTCCTGGGTCTGGGCCCTCCTGATAA